CAGGTCTGACTTCATGCAACTAGAATGGCCCCACCCTTGGTTTAATACATCTTGACATTTTCATCATTTTTAAACAGGGGGCCTGCTGTTTGTTTCCCTTTCACATTGTGCCCCAGTCATCGTGTAGTGTTTGTTTTAGGGGTGCCCATCTGTGAGCTTTGAGACGGATCTATCCTCAGAGCTCCTTCCAAACTGGTGCCCCCTCCTGTGCCCACAGAGAATGAAGCTCCGGCCCTGCAGGACAGTCTTAGTATTCACATAAAGGGACTGGGTGAAGCAAGACATAACAGGGCAGAGAGGCACCTCCAGCAGCCAAGAGCTGTCCTCCTTTACAGGGACTCCAAGATTAGGTTAGCTCCGTTCCAGCCCCAAAGAGTCTGCCCCGGCTGACTTGGTCACTGAATTGTCCAGCTCACACTTACTGTACTTCTGCCAAGACCTGAGCACCCCTTAGAACCTGAGAGGTACAGAGAATGTTTTGTTTTGTTCTGTTCTTTCGTGACACAGGGCCTCGTTATGCAGTGTACTCTGACCTTGAACTTACTGTGTAGCCCAAGTGGCCTCAGACCTGCCACTATCCTCCTGCCTCAGCCTCCCAAGTGCTGGGATTATAGGCACGGGCCGCCACGCCTGGCTAAAGGTTTTGAGGCAGCCCTCTTGCTGCCCCTGGGAAACCAGGAGAAATCCAGTGAGAAAGGAGTAACTGTGCAGTGTAATCATTGCTGAGGGTAGAGTCTACACAGTGATCTGGGAGCCTGTATCAGGTATGATTTTGCCTGCATGCCACACTGAGTCTTCAGAGAGAGGCTGACTTTGGAGTGAGGCTTTATGGTGTGAATAGGAGTTTACTTAGAACACAAACAGGAGGGCTTGGGTTGCCGACTGCCACAGGCAGGAAGCTGGGCTGGAACTCAGAGTCCTGCCTTTCATCTCTGGGCAGTTGTTGAGAACTGAAGAATTAGAGGACATTGGGTGGGCGCCACAGGAAGTGCACCGATGGGCAACAATGTGTCCCTCTGGGAACTGCGGTGCTGGAGGGGAAGACACTTGGGCAAGAGCACAGTAAGACCAGAAGAGCAAGCAGGGGCAGCCCGAGAACCGAGCAGCGCTTCAGGAGAACAGTGAGACGCTGAGGAGCAGCCCTTCCAACTCTGTCAGAACCCAATTCCTGGTGCAAGAAGCTGTTGGCAGAGGAGGGGTGGGCACCAAGCTGGGGCTCCCTCTGAGTGTCGGGTTTGGGCCTCGAGGAACCATGTGAGGTTTTCTGTAGCTAAGAGGTCACCCTTTGGCTTTAGGCAGAACAGGATTTCGGTCTTGACTTTGCCATGTACCAGCTGTGGGACCTTCGCAAGTTTCTGGCTCAGTGAGCTTTGGTTTTTTCTGGTTTCTTAAAGCCACGGTTCTGAAGTGTGATGAGCAGACTCAGCTGCATCTCGGTGGGAAGCAGCGAGAGGACCACTGTATTTCTCTTGCCTCGATAACCTTGCTGAGAACGAGTTAGGGGTCACATTTGCTGTTAGGACAGCTCTAAATCTTTCACTGTGGCGGCAGTGGAGGGTGAGCTGGAGAGTTGTCACCCACTGTAGTCGCAGATCTGTGCCACCTGCCTTATCCAGTGAGGTTTAATCGCTCTCGTCCTGACCTCTCTCCTGGTCGGTGTCCCACCCCAGAGGGGAAGGCCTCCCTCGCCCTGCCTGAGAGCACATGGGTGCCCAACAGCTTTACACTTCTGGAAATAAAACAATGTCAGCATGTGGCTGGGATGTTTCAGAAGATGAGGTCACTTTTCCATGGCAACGGGATCCGGAAGATTCTGTGCTAATTTGAACTTGAAGATTCACTGACACCTCAGCCCACATGGTCCCTGTGCATTGGATGTGCTAAGTGGTATTTTGTCCTGGAATTAAGTAGGTGGTTCTTTCATGGAGCAGTCTGAACCATTTCAGGCTGTAGAGCTAGATCTAGTTCTTTTGTCAAGGCTTTTTTTTTGTGTTATAAGGAATATATATCTCTATGTATTACAGATGACTGAGAAGGGTCCGCGATAGTGCTGGTGACAGGATGCCATGATATAATGGTTCAGGATCTATTGATCCAGCATTTGACATACATTAAGATATGTAACCCTCACTTGAGAGAACAGTGTTAATAAACCCATTTACTAATGGATACACTGAGAGGTTACAAATAGGTGCAAAATTGCACAGCTAAAAGATGGTTTAACCCTGGGCTTCCTGTCTGCAAAGCCACACTCCTGCATGCGGTGCTACTCTAGGAACAAGGCCAGGGCAAGAAGCAGGGAGGTGGACCACAGAAGGCTCAGAACCCTGCAATCCAGAGGTTCCACCATGTGGAAACCTAGCCTTGATTCCCACACGTACTCTATTCCGTTGGGATCACAGCATATGTACCGTCGAGGAGCTGGCTTCTCCTCTCTCCGTGTTCTTTCACAAGCAGGTGGGTTACAGTGCAGCAGGGAAATGTCATATGCAGCTCAGGCGACATTTCCAGAGAACAGTCTGTGCCACAGAACTGTCTTTTGGCTGGAAACAGGAGAGCTCCAGTTTATTAATAATGGTCAAAAGCAAGATCAGCGTGGAAGCAAACCGATGGCCTGTGTCTGGTCGCCTCCGCTAGGTGTCTCCAGTCCCCAGCGCCTGCTGAACTGGATGCTGGCCCTGGCTTGCCAGCAGGGGCATCTGAGCATCGTGAAGCTCCTGGTCCTGACGCACGGGGCAGACCCCGAGAGCTATGCAGTCCGGAGTAATGAGTTCCCTGTCATCCTGCGCCTGCCTCTCTATGCAGCCATCAAGTCAGGTGAGTGGCTTCCCAGAGCTGGGCAGGGGCTTCCCATGGCCTGGGGCAGCTCCTACTTCTGATTCCTCTCTGAAACCTCCCTCCTCCCCCTGCTCACCTGCCCCAAGGGGATTTCAGTGTGACCAGTTCCCCAGCAAAGTCCTCTCACTGCCAGGAACTCGATGCACCAAGGGAAGAAAGGAGAGGTTTGCAGGGTGCAGAGGACACAGCGGTGACCCATTCCATGTCTGAATATCCTTAGTTTACTTGTTTTTTCCTTCCTTTTATCTTATTTATTTGTTCGTTTTTATTTATTGCAGTAGTGGGGATCAAATCCATGGCCTTTGCACTGTTACATCCCCAGCCCATTTTTTATTTGGCAAAAGAATCATACCAAGCCACTGAGTTACCAGGGTCAGACGTGAACTTGAGATTCTTCTGCTTCAGCCTCCCAGAGTGCTGGGATTATAAGCGCGCGTGTCCGTACCCGGCTGTCCTCAGCTTTCTGTATTTTGTCTTGCAGGGAATGAAGACATTGCCATCTTCCTGCTTCAGCATGGGGCGTTCTTCTGTTCCTACATCCTCCTGGACAGCCCCGACCTCAGCAAGCACCTCCTCCGGAAGTATTTCATCGAAGCCAGCGCCCTGCCCGGCAGCTGTGGGGGGAAGACCGTGAGTGACGGCCCCTGTGGGGTGGGTCTGGCACCTGGGCATCTGCTGTTTTCTCACATGTTCCCCAACGGGTTAAACAGGCCAGAATTCTTAACAGTTTCTTTTTAAAAATTTCCTTTATTACACCTTGAAATGAACAAAAGTTACACACTTGTCGCTGTAATGGGTGAAAGCCGTGGGGAAACGTAATAGCAGAATGACAAGCCAGTCTCCCTTGATGCACATTAAATTACGTGCAATCTGGTAAGCAGCTCTGGGCACCTTTGCATGGACAAAGCTGTGTAAGCATTTATAACCCCGTAGAGGGCTGAAGTTTAGTTTTCTATTTTAATAAAAAATTCTGTTGCATTATTTACATTATATTCAATTTGACTTTTTAATACAGTTTTCTCTTAGACTCCCTCTCAGTTTGTTGATGTGGCATTGACTCGTTCTTTTAAATCAGCAGAGGCATTGTCACTTAGGTGGCCTGCCCTTCTCCTGCCCTTTTCCTGTGATGCACGCTTGGATTATTTCTGTTGGGAACCCCTTCTAATGTAGCTGTATTAGCTCCTGATGACTAGAGTCCTTTGCAATCCAGACAGCCCCCTAAAACCTCCTGAGTCTCCCTCTCTGGGGTCTCTGTCCCCACGCCTCAGTCAGCAGTAACTGTCCTGGGGCCTTTTAATTTTCACCAGCTTGTTGGGCTAAAACATCTGTTGTTTCAATTTCCATGTTTTTATCACCAATAATTTTCAACATATTTTGCATGTCTGAAAACTATTTGCATCCGCTTGGGTAGCTGCCTGCTAATGTGTGTTGATTATTTTGCTAAGCACCTGTTTATTTTTTCTCTTGTCACTGTGGAAGGTCTTTTGTAAATTAAGGATTATAAGCCTTTCTTTATCCTATATGTTGCCAAGTATTTTTCCCAACCCATTCTTTTTCTTTTGTGTTTTTAGCTTTTCTGATAAAAAGGGTGGAGAATATGGAATCAGGTCTGCTTACCTTCTCCTGTATGGGACCGGACTGTGTAAGACACACACCTTCAGTGTAGTTTTATATAGTGTAAAAATGTCTCCTGGAGATGTCTACCTTGCTATTCCTTTATGTTTTGCATTGCATGCTTTAGTTTTTCTAGTATTTATTGTGTGTGTTATATTAGGAAAGGTTATGTGTTCCAGATGGATGCCCAGTTATTCCAGCACACTTTTTAAAATGAAAATTATTTTCCCCTCTGAATTGAAATGTCGCTTTTAGCAGTTTCATGTATATTTGGTACATTTTGGGTTTTCAAATACTAGTACTCCGGTCTATCCTTCTTTCAGACAAATACTGTGCTATTTTTATTATATGTGCTTCATTTAAATCTTACAATGTGTTCATACGAGTTTTCTTTTTTGGAGGAAGTATCAGGAATCAAACTCACAACCTTGCATTTGCTAGGAAGGCACTTGTGCCACTGAGCTATATCTCTGGCTCCTTCTCCTCCTCCTCCTCCTCCTCCTCCTCCTCCTCCTCCTCTTCCTCCTCTTCCTCCATGTTTTCATAGTTTTGCTCCTAAAGGTCTTGGGTCTCCTTGTTTATTTGTGATTTATTGTTTTTATCACCATGTTAGTTAAGTAGATATAGTTGTAATCCTTCCCCCTGCTACTCCCAACCTGGTGTTACTTCTGGGAAGATGAGTGATTTCATCATTTATGTTTTAATGGTCCACTTATCAACTGCCCTTACTAATTCTGCTAGTGTTTAGTAAAGTTCCCTAAGACACTAAAGTATACGATCAAGTCATCTGCAAATTCAAAGTAGTCTGCCTCTTTCAATATTTTTATAACTTACAGTATGCCGTGTCTTCTTGTGTGTCACTGGAAATTTTTAAAGTTCAACAGTCGTAATAACAGCAGATGTGTCTATCTTGTTCCTGATTTTAAAGGTCTTGGGGTCAGCAGTTTATGAGCATTTGCTCTAGGTTTTGGTAAGGGGATACTGGTTAAATTTAGGTAGTTTCCATGTATTCATTTTTGCTAGAGTTTTTATTAGGAAAGTATGCTGCATCTTCCTATTTTTACTGATTCGTGTACTTGGTTTTACTTCACGTTCACTGGTGATGGCTCTGTGACCCAGAGTCACCTGTCTTCGTTATAGCAAACTGTCACTCCCATGCTCTTGGTGCCCTGTCCTGGGAGCTGTCTGTTCGTGGCTATGCCCGCTCTTCTTCTTTGTATCCATCTTAAACAAACTTTCTCAGACCTTTGTTTTCAGGCTCTTCGTCTCGTATAAAAAGCGTTCAGTTTGTAATCCTATGAGTGTGTCTTTTGAAAGAACCCACCTACTTCACATTGGCTGGGGAAGTGCCATATTGGCTTGTCCTTTCCATCCCGTTTTATATTTCCTGCTATTCCTTCCCTTACTCTCCCGAGTCTCCTTATTGCCAAAGAATATTGATATTCTGCTTTCTGTACCTTGTTATCTTCCTGTGTCTCGGTTGGTTTTCTGAGCTTTGACACAGAAAGAATTGTAATGTCCACCATGGATGACACTGCACTTAACACGGGATTTGGCATAGAGTGCGAGCATAATGAATACTGGTATCATCGCTACCAGCCTCGTGTTGCCAAAGGAAATGATGATCCTGTCACCCTTACATCTATGTAGGTCTTGGTGTTTTTCTCGGCCTTTTCTTACTGCGTTTGAGCCTCATTAGCACCTCAGTAAGCACTACAGGAAGCATAGTGTGTTTTGTAGATGAAAATGTAGAGGCACAAAGACATTATGTCTCTTATCCAAAGACAGTAAATGCCAGAGAGCAGCAACGCCCAGGTAACCTACATCTCTGTAAAGCAGAGCTTTCCTTGCTCCTCAGTTCCTGACCTGCGGATCCCAGGTTTCATGTAGACAAGGAATTCCTGCTTTTCTGCATATTGAAATGCCCAGAAGTGTGAAAATCTCAACACTCAAGCCACATTCCCCTTTACTGATTAAATCCAAAGCTCTGGGGGGACCGGGCATCAAGAGTTTTAAAAATTACCCAGGTGATTCCAGCATGTATGCAAGACTGAGAGCCAGTGGCTTTGCTTTTCTTGGCATGAAGTTAAAAGCGGAAATGGTCGGTCGGCATCTCTGTCTGATCCTTCTTCTGGGGTGATTCCAGTTATATGTGCCAAAGTTGCCCAACAGCACAGAAGTGATGGTTGCATTTTGCCAGTGAAAAGACAATGTTTCTTTTCCTATCCTTGGTGCTTCTGGGTCTAAGCAGAAAAGGAAATGAAATCTCACCACAGCGTGAGTCATAAGGGCTCCTTGTGCTTCCCCAAGGCAGGTGTTATTTTTGTGCTTCAAGTGAATTCCTAAGGCAAGGGCCTTGCAGTGGGTGTGTCCTGCTGCCCTGTGGTCTCTGACCTATAACAGCACATTCCCTCTGCGGCTGGCCTAGAAGAGCAGAGATGGGGCAGCCCAGAAGGACCCAGCACAGGGGAACGAGGGCTGGGGAGCCAGAGGTAAGTCTCCCACTTGGCCAGGTATGCCACGGGACTGAACTAACACTTTTGGTTCCCCATATTTAACTCCTAGTGCCAGGCATTAGGAGAGTGCTTTGCTGACAAGCTGTATGGGTGAGAGATGCCCTTGACATCCTGACATTCATAGCAGCGACCTGGTGAGGCAGAAATCACACCGTGGCAAGGTGACCTATGCTGATTACAGCACCAGCTCAGCCAGTCTGTGGAATCCACAGTGACATTTTAGGGTCACTGTCCTGTGCCACGACGTTGTCCTATGTATGTTTGTGCTCTACCTCTCCCCAACTGCCTGTTTTTAATGCCATTGCTGCCTCAGTGGAAGCTGGTTCAGTGACAGTGACCCCCGTGCTTGTTCCCGGATCCGGCATCGCCTGGTCCTCAGACCTCTGCAATCCACCTCTGCTGACAATCGCAGAGCTGCACAGAAGCTGTGTTATTTTCCATGGGTAGCAGCTGGTTCCTTGGGTTTCATTGGTGTTTGGATAAGGAAGGTTCCAGAACCAAGCCACATGATATGGTCTGGTCTGGTTGGAGGCACTTTTGGAAGAATAAAGCTAAAGCCAAGCCAGATCTGGCAAAGTCATTTCCCTGGCTCCACAGAGGTCCCCTAACCGCCCCCGACTCTTGCCTGAACCTGTAATGAAACAGCCTGTGTTCCCAATGCCCATCCTGTCAGTATTCCTGAAAAATAACTTATTGCTTTGACACCCAGAAAGGAGTAGGAAAACTCAGAAATGCCAAGAAAGACTTCGTCAGTTCCTGGAATAACCGTGTCATTCATCCCAGCTTAGCTATTAGGGAGCCAGGCAGGGGAACCCTCGGGGGCTGCTTTAAATATTGGATATAAACAAGAGCTGAGATTAATTTTGAAACAAGCCAATGGGGAAATTGTTCATTTCCTCTTTCAGATCTGGCAGCAACCTAAAGATAGAGGGCACTTACATTTATTATTGTTGCTATTACTTTGGAGATTAGGTCTGGCTTGTGTAGCTTCCAAGTTCCAGGTGGCCACCATTTGTGTCCCTACATCGGTGCCGATACACAGACACCCTGTTCACACATTGTGCTTCACCTGTGATCCAGACATTTGTATCTGCAGGCCTCTGGGAGGTACTGATGGTGTCACCCTCTCAGCAGCTGGTGGCCAGCAGCTGGCTGGTTGCCATTCCCGAGGGACACTTGAGGGCCTCTTGGGACACTCTTGCCCTAGATAAAGCCTCATATTTGGTGCAGAAGATTTTATTCTGGAGTTTGATGTTTCCAGAGCATTTCCATATTCGCTGCCTCCATCTTGGTGGTCCCATTTTGTTTGTGGTGTGAAAGCCAACTTCTCCTGACTGAAGTTGGACCAGGTAGGTTCACAGGTATGAGGCAGACTAGGGAGCAGACTGAATTCCCATGACCTGGATTTTTCATGACACATAAGAGGAAGAAAAAGCCCTCAGCTACACTCTGACAGTAACAAAAGCAAACTCAGGCCTGTGCCAAGCACCCACCCATCAATTCTGCTTCTCTGGTGCCCTAGTGAGGATTTCAGCTCGCCACAGTGGTCATTCGTTATCTGGGGCTTCATGTCCCATGATTTCATTTTTCTATCAGCAACCTTGGAAAAATGTATCAAATGGAAATTTCTAGAAGAATAACCTAACATTTAAATTGCATCAGTTCTAAACTACGTACCGTTCTGAGTATCATGGTGAAATCTCACAGTATTCTGTTTAGTTCCATCTCACCCACGATGTGAATCATGACCTTGACCAGCGTACCCACATTGTATACAGTGTCTGCCCAGGTAGACAGTGTTCAGGTAGCCACTACTTTATTTAATTATGGCCCAAAAGCTTAAGAGTATTCATGTCAGCAATTCAGTTAAACAAAAAGATATTGTGAGACAGATAACATTCCTGTAACTTTTATTATAGTGTTTTGTTTTAACTACTCTTTTACTTTTTGTTGTTAATCTCTGTGCCTAATTTAAAAACTAACTTTATATCATAGACATAGGAAAAACCCAAGTATACACAGTATAGGTCCAGAACTAGCTATGGTTTCAGGCGAGGAGCAGATCCCCCAATGACAAAAGCAACCACTGTGTCTACGCATGTGTTACATGCATGTGGGTGTTTTTGTGGTTTCCAAATCCTGAGTCTTTCACATAGGTATTTATCTTGTCCTACTAGATTTTGAGTTATGCTATAAATTTGCCATTGTAGAAACCATTCATATTCAGTTAAAGGTATAGAATATGAATAAAGAAATAAGCATGTAGAAATAGTGAAACTATTTGAACTTATTTGGCAATTAGAAAATAAGAAAATAAATGAGTGAAAAACTTGTAACCTGAACAACTAATTCTAAAATAACAATATGCAATATATTAACACGTGTTGATTTCTTACTGTTTTTTTGAAATTCTGTATTATTTCTATCCTTTTTTATTTTGCCTTTTAAAATAAAAAAATTAAGTGTGTTGAAACTGTTGGATATTAGCATAGCGATTTATAGTAATCATAATGCAAATATATTCTAGCCAGGCTAGAATTAAGTATTGGAAATTATTAGAATATCTATCTATGTGTCTATCTTTGTCTATATATCATTATCTATATATGTTTAAAAGCACAGTATTGCAGTTGTTAATGTGCGATTGTTGCATTTATAAATTTTAAACATATATTTCCAAATATAATGAGAAATTGTAAATGTATTTAAATAGTTAAGCTAAGTGATATGTGATGGCACATGCCTAGCTGCTCAGGAGGCTTGGGGCAGGAGGATTATGAGTTTAAGGCCAACCTGAGTGATTTAGTGAGACTCCCCATGTCAAAATTAAAGGCAAAAAATTACATCTGTGAATATACTTGGTGGTAGAGAACTTGCATAGCAAACCCTGGGTTCAGTTTTCAGTACTGAAAAACAAAAGAGCAAAATGATTTGTACTAATATATATTTTTTAAAAAATAAGAGGGAAAGGCAGTAAGCCAGGAACACGGTGACACGTGCCTGTAGTTCCAGCTACTTAGAAGGCCAAGGTGGGGCAATAGCTTGAGCCATGCATTTAAGGTCAGCCCAAGCAACATAGTGAGCCCCTAACTCAAAGAATGAAAATATTTGAAAAGAGGCCACAAAGCCATAAATCCAAAATAAATCATCGATGCAGGTGTATGTGCACTGATAGTCGGGTTTCATTCAGCCAGTGTTTGTGGGTCACCCAGTAGATGCTTGGGACTGAACAGCACTCAGGCTAGATGCACACCTCGGCCACCAGGATGTTCACAAATCCCACTGGGTAAGAAAGTGAGAGAAATCAATAGTTAATGTCCGTATGAGAAGACACAGCAGATCCTGGCATAGAAACATCCACCCCCTCATTGAAAATTGCAGAAATTCAAATTCAAACTACTTGAAAGGACTGTTGCACACCTACTAAACTGGCAGAAATAAGTGGAAATGCTGACTAGGACCCTTGGCAGGGTCGTTGTCAGTGAGCACCAAGTCATGCTCCTGGCACTGAAATTGGTTCCATGTGTGCAAAAATAATTGACATCATGTGACAGAAGCTGTCATTTTTTTTCTCCCAGTGAGCTATTCTGAACGTGAACAATTCCTCTGAGAACATAATTCAAAAGAAATAAATTATGTTCGCCACAAATGTGGTCAGAGGCTGCTATTTTTAATAAGTATACACGTGAGGGAGCAGAAACCCCAAAATGTCCAACAGCAGAGAGAGACCAGACTGTCCAGCAGGCCGACCTTAGCTAGCCAGGGGAGACATAAGCCTGCCTCCTCAGTGCTGGACACACCCTCCTGGACATGAGGACAGCTTCCACACCTTCATGCCCTCGACAGCCTCCTGGAGGCCTGCCTGAGCACTGGGCACTCCTGCTCGCCTCCTCCCACCACTCGGAGCTTCCTGTCTGCTTAACTCATGGCAGAATTCAGGGTTGTCTGTTTGGGTTGCGTTCTTGATTGATATTGTTTCCTCCATTTGGCCAGAAGCTTGTTGAAAGCAAAGTCTTTGGCTACTTTTTCTCACCCTGTGTTTGCCTCTCACTGCAAGGCCTGGAACAGGATTCATAGGTGAAAGGATAGGAGGATGGATGGCCCCATGGTTGGATGGATGGATGGATGGATGGATGGATGGATGAATGGATGGATGGATATATGGTTGGATGGATGGTTGTATGTTTACATTGATAGGTAAATGGATAAATTGATAGTTGAAATTTTTTCTATGTAATAACCACCCTTCTGTTTATATAGGACATCATAACTTTACCATGTCCCTGCTGGACCCTTGAACCATCAGTGGTACATGCATGACTGGCCCATTTAGTAACTTGTACTACCCAATGGGGCAGCCATCTTGGGTGTACCACCAGTGGTTCAGAGCCAACCAGCAGCAAGACATACGAATTACAGCCCAGTCAATAATATGCTAAAAGAACTTTGGCAGGTATTCTATTTTAATCCATTTGTAATACTGTGAGGTGCAAGTCTTGCCTTTATTTAAAAGTTTAGGAAACTGAGGATTCTCTCGATGGTAAATACCTGAGTTAATTTCAGACAATGTTTTTATTGCTTGTTCTCTCTCTCTCTCTCTCTCTTTCTCTCCCTTCCTCCCTCCCTCTCCCTTTCTCTCTCTCCCTCTCTCTGTCTCTCATAGATACCCACAAAATTCTTAAGTTGAGACTAGTGATGACAGATTTCTCTTAAGCCTCCTATCCTCAAAGAAATAGCTGAAACACAACAGGAAGGAAATCCCTCTGTTTACCTACTTTAAAGAATATTTAAAAAAGAAAAAGTGATAAAGTTTAGCAAACACCTTTCAGATAGTTAAAGGAGGAGCAGTGGCTCTGTTGCTTGCTGTGTTTTCTGTCTGTCCCCCCCACCACCACCACCATGCTGCTTTGTTAGTGTGGAAGGCTAGCTGGGCTCAGAACTGAATTATTTGTGTTTCATCTAGTTGTGGCCTATTT